TAACTAGTAATGTAACTAAGTTACTATTTTAAAGTAACTTACCCAACACTGTTCATAACACACGTGAAAAGACCCAGGAAAACCAAGTTAACGATAAAAACGATAACAAAATAACGCTGAAAACCGATAAAAACCCTGAAAACCTTATATTTCACACCTGAGCCTCAACTCTCGCGGCCGGTACCAAACGACTCACGGACCGGTACCGGTCCAAGGCCCGGGGATTGGGGACCGCTGCCCTAGCATACATTCTAGTCCTCCCTGATTTAGGTATTTTGTGTGTGCCGTTACACACAAGGAAACCTCAACAGAACCTTTGCAGTACTTGCAGAAGAGACAGAGCAGGGTTCTGGGCTGCTCCTCAGACTACTAATTAGTCTGAAAAGCTGCAGCTGAGTTTCCCTGGTTCTCTATCTGCAGCCATCATTGAAGCCTGAAGTCTCTGCTGCAAAGAATGATATTAAGACAGTATGGATCCTGTTCATTATGCTGTGTTGCTATTGTGGTGAAGGCTCTAAACTACCATGCCAGCTACACTTGGTGATAATCACATCGGTTCGAATGCACTCCCTATGTTTCCCCCAGGCTCAATCCAGACAAAGAATCATGACACAGTTGATGGGTTTACTGCTTCTTAAGGCAGCACAGAGATGTGGTTCACATGCATACACACAATAATATAAGGCACATTAAAGTTTATCAGAAACTGAAAAGTTGTTCACAGCCTGCACGCCTTACTGAACAGTTGCAACGTTACAATTTACATTTCTCTGGATGCACACACAGGAACACAAACAGCAATCAACTGTGGATCTGATGAAGCCAACCAAGAGACTGCATGGCTGAACCGGTTATCACTGATCCATCTGCACTAAATACAGTACATAGCTGCCCCTTGTGGACAGGCTGGTAAATGACATCTTCAGAACAGTCACCCCCAGACTTGCTCCAGCAAGTTTGCAGTACTAAATCCATTGTATAAATCTTAATTCGGAACAGCAGTCAGCCGAATGAGGTTACCTCACAGGTCATCCATAGGTATGGTCCATCACTTTAACCTCTGCAGTGCAAATAAGGCTGCCAGGGATCACCTTGCCAATGTTCCCTACAGGCTATGTGAAGCTCTGGGAAGTTGGGATCAGCGATTATCAAAACACTACCCAGTTGAAGCAGGGCTGTATCTGACTGCCACTAAGAGAGAGTATGGCGGGCAGGTAGTGGTGCAGGAACCATGTCCAGAAGTGGTCTGATAGTACTTGGCAGTCCAAGCAGCGATATACTGCCTGTGGTAACAAATGGTTGGCCAAATCATCAGCAACTGCCCTGGGTTTGCGAGTTGTCCGCACTTCTTTGCTGACAACTTGCGAACCCAGGGCTGCAGTCAGGACAGCCTTGACAGACCTGATTTCATGCTCCCAGGAGCCTCCAGAATGAGAAGTGCTAGGTAGGTTGAAGTGGAATCAGCCATTTTATGGTTGACTGGTTGGGATGTACTTCTTTGACAGGCTGGCAGACAGAACACACAGTGAGGTATGAGGGCGATCACGACACAGGACTGAGGGAGACGCTGACATAAATACACAGAAGGATAATGTCTGGGTAATGAGAACACACGGGGAACACAACTGACACGAATTAACATGACGCCCCAGGTAGACACACTGAATAATAATAATAATAATGCATTGGATTTATATAGCGCTTTTCAAGGCACTCAAAGCGCTTTACAATACCACTATTCATTCACTCTCACATTCATACACTGGTGGAGGCAAGCTACAGTTGTAGCCACAGCTGCCCTGGGGCAGACTGACAGAAGCGAGGCTGCCATATCGCGCCATCGGCCCCTCTGGCCAACACCAGTAGGCAAGTAGGGTAAAAGTGTCTTGCCCAGGGACACAACGACCAGGACAGAGAGCCCAGGGATCGAACCGGCGACCTTCCCGTTACAGATGCGATTCCCAACCCCCTGAACGTGAGACCTTCACAATAAAACATGTCACGGCTGCTACGGCAGACGTGTGGAGTTTATGAGAGAAGGACCCAGAATGCAGGCATAGGCAGTGATGCTAGTGAGCTTTATTTACAATAGGTGAAAACAAACAAAAGCAAGTGTGGCAGGGACAGAACTAAGAAATACTTAGAACTGGGAAACCCAGTAAACAAACCTGAATTATAACATGCGGAGAGAAACATGAGATGATAACCAGAGAAACACAGGACATGATGAGCAGGAACAGGAAACAGATTCCACAGAAAATACTGGAGCTCATGGACACCGTTCGCATAGAGTTCAGGTGACCAACCTGGAAGGCGACAGCACAACAGTCCATTGCTAAACAGTTCAGGGCCCAACCACAAGGAGAGTGGCAACAGCACAGGTGACTGAACCGGTCCGGCGGCTGGCCATGGAAAAGGCAGCAGGCGAAGAAAATCCGGAGGCTGACCACGCGGATGGCGGCGGCGGCACAGACGAAGCAAGTCCAGAGGCCAACCATGACGGCGAAGATATCTGGCCAGCACTCTGGAAAGTGGCTGGTGACAGTGAGGAGCTGAACGAAGTCGAGCAGGACCTGAAGGACGGAGATGGCACAGGTGTGGCAGCTGCAGGTGATGGAGCAGTTGGTGGCACTGCAGGTGGTGGAACTGCAGGCGACAGTGTGGAAACTGCAGGTGGTGGAACTACAGGCAACAGTGGAGGATCTAGTGGCGCTGATGGTGTCTGGATGGGCTCCTCGGACCTTCCAGCAGAGACAGAAAACATCTGAAGCGACCCCTCCGGACCCTCCAGCAGAAACAGAAGACGGCTGGAGCGACCCCCCGGACCCGCCAGCAGGAACAGAAGACGGCTGGAGCGACCCCTCGGGACTTTCAGCAGGAACAGAAATGGTTCCTCTGACCCTCCAGACAGATGGCTGGAGCGGTTCCTCGGACCCTCGAGCAGGAACAGAAGATGGATGAAGAGGTTCCTCGGACCCTTCAGCAGGAACAGACAGGATTAACAGGTACGGAGCCACAAATCCTCCAGCCTGCGGTCATTGAGTCTGCCCTGTGCTCCTCCATCACAGTCTGGTATGGAGCAGCCACTAAACAGGACAGGAGCAGACTGCAGCGGACTGTACGTGCAGCAGAAAGGATCATCAGCGCCCCCCTGCCCTCCATCCAGGATCTGTACCTCTCAAGAACCAGGAAACGGGCAGGGAAAATCATCACAGACCCCTCACACCCTGCACACAGACTTTTTGATCTGCTGCCCTCTGGCAGACGGTACAGAAGCCTGCAGACCAGGACCACCCGACACAGGAACAGTTTCTTTCCCCTCGCCATCTCCCTTCTTAACAGTTGACCTGTCACACTGCTCCCACTGCCAGACTGCAACTGCACCTTATGTACATTTTGTAGTATTCATTCCACCTCATTCATTTCTGTATTTTATGTATATAAGTTTAGATTCGTTATTTATAGTTGGTTTACACAGCTTTGTGTATGTATGTGTAATGTGTATATATAGACACGTGTGTGTGTGTGTGTGTGTGTGTGTGTGTGTGTGTGTGTGTGTGTGTGTGTGTGTGTGTGTGTGTGTGTGTATTTACATTGCTGTGCTTGAGAGCCACCATCTACCGGAACCAAATTCCCTGTATGTGTCTGCACATATACTTGGCCAATAAACACGATTCTGATTCTGATTCTGATTCTGGATAAGGCTGTGGAACAGTCGACCACCACAACTACTTTTGGTTAACTCTGTGGATTCTTTAAAAAGCAGTTTAAAACTTTTGTTTAAACAGAACTTCTGTTGATCAACGCCTTTTTCAATTTTACATTTTGATTTATATGCAACCTTTTGTATTGACTATATTGTTGATTTTGTTACCAAACGTTCTGTTTATTTTAACCTTTGTTTACAGCGCTTTGTGACTGCCTGGCTATGAAAAGTGCTTAATAAATAAACTTTACTTTTATTTTATTTCTCCTATTACCTGTGTGTGCTGCTTGGCTTGGGCCTGCAGCGTCTCCAGTTACTGCTGTGGTGCTGTCTCTTGCTCTTGGTGCATGTTGGCCGGCTCCCTTGCATCTTGTGTGATAGGCACAGTTGGGTGCCAATGTAACACCACGGTCATGGGAAACCCACCATCCAGCTTCAGACTCTCAGTTTCAACTGAACAGGTCGCGTTTATTCTCACAATTACTGTTTTACACGTGTGCTTCACTTGCAGCTTTTCCTCCAGCGTTCTTCCACTGCTGCTGTCCTTACTCTCTGAACATGACCGGTCTCAGCATTTTACTGAGTTAAAATAGTGGCTGGCACACTGTGGCTGTGCGCCTAGAACTGCCCCTGAACCCTCTGCTCTACCCCTTCCCTGCAGCTGCACTACACCAAGATACATGAAACTTCTGACATTTTTAAACTTTTTTTTCTCCAAGAGTTACAAGACTGTCACATAGAATCAGTTCTTCATCTGCGTTAAATGCTATTGTCTTGCTCTTATCATAGACTGGCAACATACCAGATGATGTGAAAGTGTCGCCATACAACAGGAGAATGCTATAAAGTTCCTCTGCTAAGTTCGCAAATATGGACGGGTCATAGCTCAGTGATTTGATTCTGACCTGATGTTGGTACTTTGTCACATAGTTGTCATTGTGATACTTTACTTGGAATGCAGTACTCCAGTGTGAAGCTAGTCTCAAAGAATATTTTCAGTATTTCACTGTTGGCTACTCTCACCACAAACTTGGACTTTAGGGTACCTTGTTTATATCCTACTAAAGTTTCAAATAAGCTAAATTCAACGATTGAAATGCAGCAGCACTTTTCTTTTTGTGTTTTTTATGCTTTTTCATTGCTAGTTCCTGCAATGCACTGGTCACTTTCAGTAGTCAGGAACTGATAGACACTGACCTCAGCCTGAAGCTAGACTTTATTTGGATTGGACCGACAGTATCCATCAGGATTGCAAGATCACCAGGAGCTCCATTGGTTATTGTCAGGAACAGCAAGAGATGGCAGGAGAAGAATAAAAAGCTGGGATGCAGAGCTGGCTATCGTGTCCAACTGCAAAAGCAGCAACACAAACCCCTGCTTCCATTCATCTTCCTAACTAACGACAGATACCACACAAACAAAATGGAAGAGCTACAATCAAAGATTTACTACAACCATTTTGTCCGGGCGTGTTATCTACTGATTATAACTGAATCTTGGCTCCATCCACAAATATCTGATGTTTCACCGCCAGGACTGCAACAAAGACTCTGGTAAGGGATCACCTAAAACTTATCATTAGTAAACAGCAGAGAGACCAGCTTGAGGGCATCCCTATCGTTGCTGGGGATTTTAATAAGCCATGTTTGAAATCGGTAAACTCGAAATTCCACCATCATGTTAAGCGTCCTACCAGGGGCACAGGATACTGGACCGTGTGTACAGTAACATCAAGCAAACCTGCAAAGCGACACCCCTACCCCACCTGGGACAATCTGACCACCTCTCTCTCCACCGGATTATAAGGCACATTAAACGAAACAGAACAGTCAGATTAGTCAAACTTTACTCAGCTCATTCTTCTTGCTTCCTCCACTTCCGTACCATCGATTCCTAATGTCGTTGCAGTATATTAATGACTAACCTTGTATTGTGGATGGATTTTCTCAGTTGTTCTCCTGACTGAAGTTTGGTCCGTTTACAGCATCCTGCCATGCGATTGCATTTGTCTCTAACCATCGGGAACTCTCACGTTAACTTTTATCGAGTGGAAACAAGTTAGCGTTCATCCTCCAGCTTCACTGTGTATATGCTATGCTAACATAGCTGTGTATATCATTATATACCAGCTAGCCCAACTTCAGTAACCCTACAAACATCACTGCTGTTTAGTTTTCTGTCTTCATTTATGTAGTTTTCTGTCTTCATTTCTTCTTCATCTTCTGTTCCTGCTGGAGGGTCCTTCATTTAAGTGATAGCAGAAATTTTCAGAAATCTCTCAGTCAGAACATGGTATATCATGTTTAGGTGGAAACTAGCGAGCTAACTTCCTGCTAACTTCTAACTCTGTTAAATATAATAAATTCTGTTTTCATGGATGCCTGGATGTTAAACTTAATTGTTACACCTGGTAAAACAGCATAGCTGATCATTTTGTTAAAGATGAAAGAATTTAGACAGTTTTTTAACTCTCAGTGATGCTGCAGTGTTTGTTTGACTTTGGGACCTGAAGCAGAGTTTGGACCCAGATTACTCTGCAAGGCTCCTGACTACGGTAGCCGTAATGCCCCGACAATCCATCAAGCGGTGCGGCTTCGTAGCTTACCAAAGTCGTACTAAAACATTTTTGACAGATTTTTGAGCGCCGTGTACCACATAAAATCAGTTCGAGGTCAGTAAGCACAACCAGAATTCATACATAAGGCGCACTGGATTATAAGGCGCATTGTTGATTTTTGAGAAAATTAAAGGATTTTAAGTGCGCCTTATAGTGCGGAAAATATGGTATTGCAAAATATATAAATCAGACGAGTCGATCCCACACCGATCCCGGCATTTTCCTAGACATGAGTAGGTTGTATATTTTATGTAGTTCTAAAAATCTGTTAATCCAGGTGGAGACTATAGGAGATGCATACATGGTGGTGAGCGGCCTACCTGAAAGGAACGGAGACAGACATGTGGATGAAATTGCCAAGATGGCTCTGGATCTGGTAGCAGCCGTCAGACAGGTCTCCATTCCTCACATGCCCAATGAGAGGCTTCAGCTCAGAGCTGGCATCCACACAGGTCAGAGGAATTTATTAAGATACAGCAGATGTTTTCTGTGTTATAGAAAATTTGAATCTGCGTGGGGATTGATAAAAATGTGAATCACTACAGTGACCTTGGTCAGGTGCTTTGTGGTAAGTACCATCTAGTAAAGGAACCATATCAGATTACGATTCCTGGATATTCAAGGTCAAGGTCAAGTTTATATATATATAGCACATTTCAAACAGCCGATGCTGCACAAAGTGCTTAACAATATAAAAATGGCATTAAAAAGCAACAATCCTCAAAAATTCACAATCCTCAGGACGATTCTGTTGAAAATCTTAAACATAGAAATGTTGGCATCCTCACGGAGCTTTAACTGTGTACCATCAGAACAAAGCCACAAAATGTATTGGAGATGATAGACATCAGGTAAACTCAATAACACTTAGTAGCTCTTAGATGCAAAGCCTATATCCAGGTGTTTGAGTGCTTTTTAGTTTGCATACAGTATACACTTACTCTTCAAACAATTTCAAGTTGTCCACATTGTTTGTGGTTTTACACAGTCTTTATAGCTCCTTAAGCATTATTCAGCATTAATTCAATCTTGTACTTTCCACATATGTGAGTATATAAAAGTCTGAGGAACATCTGATTTACATTTGCCAAATCTCCTCTTGAAGGTTGTCTCCTTGTGCAGTACTTACTCAAAAGTACTTACTCCTTATGCACCACAGCTGCATGTTCTCCTTTGGACATGTTAGCAGATTCTCATGTTCTTGCAACTTGTGACAATGGATGAGTGTGCTGCATCTGTGCTGCCAAGATTTTTGCAAGGCAGTCACTCACAGCGTAAACCAACAGGGTTTCAATTCTTCAGTTGAAGAAACAGTTTGCTATTGGTTCTGTTTTGACACAGAAACTGATCTTTGGGCTCTGTTTAAGTTTGTTGTTCATGTATACATTCTTGAACAGGACTTATAAGGAGCCTATATGGAGTGCTGGGAGCAGTCCAGGTGTGCACAAAGAGACAACCATGAAGGGAAGATTGTAAAAATTTGAAAAAGGTACTTTTTTTAACTTCCATGGATAAAGCAACAGATGATTTTGACTAGAATTTGTATTTCAGTTTCTTTGCAACACATGAGGCTACTGACAAACCCAAAACACCAAGTCTAACATGGAGTATGGCAGTTCAGACAGTCTTCACTGCTTGGCACACACACAGCTGTGTGAGCCGCAGCTCTCGTGCTTGCTTTCAGCCACTTGAATGTTGCTTCTGACCGCTTCTTGTGCATGGCCCTTGGTTCCAGCGTCCTACTGTGTAAAATAGGGAAGGCACAATTAGGTGATGACTGGCAGCTATGAACCTAACATGCACCTAGCCTATATACACATAAAAACCTGCGTCATGGGATAAGCGATGACACCTCATTCACTTTGTTTTAGTCTGCGCACGAACATATAGAGCCGTCTTTGTGCAGCTCTCTTATTACACTCATCTCCAGCATTACAGCCAGTTCCTTCTGAACTACTTGTCTTTTATGTACAGATAATCTGTAGGACCATGAACACAATGTTACACCTGGGTGAGTTTCAAAGTGGTGAGTGTGGTGTGAATGGGCAAGTGAGAGAATGCATCTGGAAAACGCTGTTGTCTGAACCAGCGTGAGATGGTTATCACAACGGTCTTTCACCAAGTTCCCCAGAGATACAGTTTCTGTCTCTCTCCATGCTTTAAGGGGGTGGGGGTGCTATATGTGTTTTGCTCCACCCCTGTCCGAATGCACCACTTTATAGTCAACATCCCTCACTCACTGCATGACCACAAAAGGTCCCTGCCACTTGGCAAATAACTTTCATTTGGATAAGGAGAGTAATACAAGTACTTTATCATCCAGTGTAAATTCTCTGATTTTAGCCCATCCACAGAACACACACCATCTGCCTAGAAGATCCACCCGGCAGAAGTGTCGTGGCGTTTGCACGAGTTCCCGTGAGTTGGGGAATGCACGTAGCCATAGGTTGGTTAGTGTGCGCCGTCGCTCAGGCATATCTCTCATGCTTTCTTTTAGCCACTTTAATGTCACTCTGACTGCTGCTTGCAGCTTTTCTCCTGTCTCCACACGCCCCTCACTCCCAGTGTCCTATTGTGTAAAATAGGAAAAGCACAATTAGGTGATGGCTGGCACCCTGACACCACCCCTCCCAGCTTAGCCACAAACCATACCCCACCACCACACATTTTACAAAAATTACAGTTGATATGTCGTTGCTTTTTTCCCCAATCTTCTTCCATTGATGAATATTCTGAATGTTTAGTGCTAAAGGTTGTTTTTTTTTAGAAGATTGTAAAGTGTTGCTTCTTTTTCTCCTGCGATGCAGGTCCATGTGTGGCAGGAATAGTGGGCTACAAGATGCCAAGATACTGTCTATTTGGAGATACCGTCAACACAGCCTCTAGAATGGAATCAACCAGCCTGCGTATGTGCAGCTAGTCCCAGTATACACTAGCACACACAATATAGCACAATATAGTGGACATGAAATGAAACTAAATAGACTGTATGTGTTGTATTGGAATTTGGTACCAAAAAAAGCTTTCTTGGATCTTTCTTGCACAAATATACAAATACAAATCTGGAAAAGCTTAAATCTTTACATGATGTCTGTTGATTTTAATTTTTCTTTATGCCAGCTCAGAAAATCCACATCAGTTCAGAAGCATACCTGGCTCTGATCAAAGACAATGCTTATGAGCTGCAGCTTCGTGGAGAGATTGAGATTAAGGTAAAATAATTTCCAGCTATGCCATAATATGTTATCATTAATATTATTTTATTTATTTTAAGAACGTTCCCAAATTTAAATTAAAAGACAAAAAAGTGAAATTTGGTGGAAATTTTATGTTTGTTAAAGAGTCTTTAGTCCAAGTTTTTACAAAACATTTTCTTACTTCATGTTCAACACAAGTCTACTTTAAGAGATTTCTTAAAATTTCCACATATACACAAACAATATGCAGTGCTTAGTTTTCATTTTGGGTTTTTTTGGTGAACAGTACCTTGTCGTTGCTCCTTTTTCACGCGTGGTCTTCTCCTGCCAGGGTAAGGGCAAAATGTATACATACTGGCTGATTGGCCACAAGAACTACAGCGTGCAGAATGACAGTCTGGTTTGCCACTGGAATCCCAACATGGCCAGAAAGAAGAAAATGTTAGCAGGGAGCCAGGTATCTGTGAGCAATGTGAGTTAAAGTGCTTTAATATTCTGAATATGTTCCATTAGAGAAGCATCCGTGCATGTCCTCCAGCTTTTGTCCTACATAGTTTAACACTGAGCCTTAAATGTTTGTTCTGCTGTGAATAGCACTGTAGTCATTCATTTGTTGTATAAAAACAGGTTCATACTAATTTTTTCCCATTATTTCTGTATTACATCTTCCCTGACTAACTGTAGCTGTCTATAAATTTACATTTTCATCAATGTATTACAATTTTGTTTTGATATTTTTATGTTTGTGTTCTGTATGTATACGTTTTACTGCAATTGTGTCACGTGGGTATTACACCAATTAACCCACAGTGTAACCACCAAGCTAATGAAAACTGGTTCTCAAAAGCATGTTACAATCTCGTTCCAGATGTTAGCATTATTTTCTCATTGACTTATGCTAAATATACCATTAATATACAGTGCTTTTCTACTCTGAGCACTCAACGTGCTTTACACAACTTGCCTCATTCACCCATTCACACCCATTTGCTTAAGCACTTTTTCTAAGCTCTTTCCTATTCCAATGCAACACATCTTCCAGTGTGTGTCAGTGTTCTCCATCCATCCAACCATCCATCTTCTTCTTATCCAATTCAGGTTCACAGTTAGGCTGGAGCCTATCCCAGCTATTATAGATCAAGAAGAGGGGTACACCCACCTCTGATGAAGTTTCACAAGTGTCAGCTTTGCTTTTATGCATAGATATAAAAATATGGATATGTACTCATAAAAAATCATAATTATAATATTTCTGAGTAAAAAACTGAATTGAATCAAATCAAATCAGAGTCGCATCAGCAGAAGAAGGGGATGGAAACAGAAGGGGATGCGGATCCGGTTCAGCAGCTGCAGTAACTATAGCCAAGCTTGGGACATGCTCCGGAACCTCCTCTTCGGGGCTGAGACTGCCCGGCTCCCAACCTCCAGCTACAGGAGCTCCCTTAGAGACCCTGGCCGTGCTGCTAGGTGATCGTTGGCCAGGGTCACCGCCAGATCCAAGGGCTGGTGGCAGCAGACCCACTCTGCCATTCCCGCTGGGAGCCCCTCCATGAATTGTTCCCGGACCACCATATTCACTAACTGGGCCTCCTCTTTTGTGGGAGGTACCTTTGTCTGGCTCTCGGACTGTTTTTTATGGGTGGCCACTGGCTGCTCCCAGTGCATAATAGCAAGCTCCACCACCATTTGTGCTAGTGCCTCCACCAGTTGTGCAGGTCACATATCCGTCATCACGCAGATTCACTTTGGGCACCACTGGAGCACTAAGGACCTCACACACAGCCAGAGGGTCACGGGGAAGTACGGTTTCTTTTATTACTGTTTTGCACACAAACACTTTGGCACATGCAGGCCGGCAGTATCCGGCTTCCCAACTCATCTCTGGTGCTACTTCCTGCTCACTGCTTACCTCCTCTCTTCAGGTCCTGGCACCTGCTGAAATAGGAGAGGTAGAGGGCGATCATGGCTCAAGAGTTGGGAGTTCGCCTTGTAATTGGAAGGTTGCCGGTTCGAGCCCCGGCTTGGACAGTCTCGGTCGTTGTGTCCTTGGGCAAGACGCTTCACCTGTTGCCAACTGGTGGTGGTCAGTGTTCGGCAGCCTCGCCTCTGTCAGTGTGCCCCACGGCGGCTGTGGCTACAATGTAGCTGCCATCACCAGTGTGTGGATGACTGGATGTATAAAGTGCTTTGGGGTCCTTAGGGACTAGTAAAGCACTATACAAATACAGGCCATTTACCATTTACACAATTACTGCCCGGTGTGATGATGGCCTTCCCTGGGCCTGCCTCTTTAGCCCATGTTTAACATCAGAATAGAATCTTAATCTAAAGACCTCATACTGTTGCATCACACCAATAGAACAGAACCCTTTCTACTTTTCAGATTAGGCTTCAGACTTTCCTTGTTGATATAGCCAGGGCTGAATCCTCCCTTAGCTCAATACACTGACTGTTTCTTTTTCGCTCACCCTTTTTCACTCATTGTGCCCCACTCTTCATCTCCCCCATTCTTAATTGTTATTCATCTCAGGCTCTCCATATTAACCAACTCGGCTCCCTCCCCTCACACTCTGAGCCTGGTTCTGCTGGACGTTTCTTCCTGTTAAAAGGGAGTTTTTCCTTCCCACTGTCACCAAAGCGCTTGCTCATAGGGGATCATATGATTCTTGGCGTTTTCTCTGTTTTCTCTGTGTTATTGTAGAGTCTTGACCTTACAATATGAAGCGCCTTGAGGCAACTGTTGTTGTAATTTGGCACTGCATCAATACATTTTAATTGAATTGTATTGAATAGCTAAAAAGCTTCAAAAAACGCATTGAACTGAATACATTTATGAGAGCAAAAACATTTAACATAATTTTATTTACTGACACTTATATGACACAGATAGTGTAGCTCTATCATCTAATAGCAAGTACATGATTCACCTCATAGTCAGTATTGCTGCCAGTAGCAGTCTGGTGCAATGAATTAATATATCCCCACAGCACCATAATCACAAACATACTTTTAATGTTATTTTTTGTTGTCTACATTGCATTTTGTACACATTATAAATTGATCAGAAAATTTCCCAACCTTGTTATTCACAATTCGTTGGTTTTAATGTGGAAAAAGAGTGTTACAGGCAGATTACAGAAAACAGTGCTAATGTTTAGTATATACTGGGACTAATGGGAACATAAAATATGAGAGTGTGACAGTTATATGATTGGTCATATGGTATTCTTGTAACCCTCTTCCGGTGTTATGTTAATAAAAACAACTAAACTAAAACAGACTATGATGAATAACAATCATATGGAATTGTGTAAAAAGCTATGTATCTTTTCTAATATGAATGTACCTTCCATGTGTACTTATGCCAGTCATCAGTGACAGTGCAGAGTCTGACCGAGAAGGCTTCCACTCCAGTGTCTCTTCTCATGAACCAAACTTCGCCACAGCCACCGAAAGACAAACCTGGCAAGAGAATGGCAGCTCAGATGGAGACCTACAGCAGCAGCTGCAGTACCCTTGGCTCTATGATTGGAGGACTGCAGGGAGGAGATAAGAGTCCTCAACCCAGCCAGCATAGCAGTGGACTCAAACCTGATCTGGTTCCTGTCTCCAACCAGCATGTGTAGCCAATAACTGCCAGCATAAATTAACCTAAGAGAATCTGAGAAATTAGTTTGTTGCAGGTAGCGCTTTAACAGCTGAAAGACATAGTTAGTTGTCACCTGACATAAAAAAATTTCAACTCATACTAATTTCCTTCCTGAACTTTTGAGTTGGAAAGTCTCACTCATACCAAGTATTACAAAGAAAGTTCGACATTCTGTCATCAGACACACGCCAACAGTGTCAATCAGGCCAAGCAGACACACAAAGGTGGTTATCTATGGAGAGAATTTTGGCTCAAAAGGGTTATAAATGCATACATTATCATCCACAGCATCAGCGTATTTAAACTATATATATCAACCTTCACAGGGTACTGTGTAGTGTCTGTAATTGGTAAATCTATGTTTTCCAGTAGAGTTCTGTTTAGAAGAAGGCCAGATGACAGCAAGATCTTGAACGCAGCTTACATTTGTGAGTCTGTGTGAAGCTGGCAGCATGAAATTCGTCCCCACGTGGGCATGTGACCTGTGCAATTTGTGCACTCGTATTTAAGGTTGTAAGTGAGAAGGATGTTACATGTAGTTTAGACATCTAGATGCACGGAAAGCTTTTTGAAAGTGAAAATCATGTGAAGTTGAACTTCATAAATTATGTGTAAATGATCCGTAGTTATTCATGTTTAGGTGCATGCATTTGCAAAATAGTTTACATGTGGTTAAATTGCTTTGTATTTGTGTGTGGATTGAACATTTTTGTAAAGCTTTATTAACATACCATACACATTTTTAACCCTTTTGAGTCCAATTTCTTTCCAAAGTTATTGGCTCAGAGTAATTAGGCTTGATATTGAAAATGGCCCCAGAACCAGACTCCTGGCAAGGGACTGGACTCAGTCTCAAGTGTCCCTTAGAGGCAGTGGGCAAGAGTGGGTATTCTTGCTTTCTCCGAGTAGACAAAAGGTTTGTTTTCTTGTGCTGAATAATAGTTCAGAGTACTCAACTTTCTTGGAGTTGCTGGGTGGGGTTCTGGATGATGCCACACTTCGTATCGACAGACTTCAATGACAATGACAGCTAGATCTGGAGGGGCGTGATCAGGTGGAACAGCCAGCCTGATCTGGACAAGAGAAATGTCCTGCCATTGGACTTTTGTTGGGTGGTGGGAGTTAAAGAGTAGGCGCTTGTCTTGTGTGTGGGTTTCTGGTAAACTTCAATGTTGAGGCTTTCATCCTGTTCAATGAGCACAACACTGTCCAGGAATGGTAACCCATTATCCTTGGTATCCTCCTCCCTAAACTTTGTTTTTAACCACTGAGTTGATGTGATCCGTGAAGGTTTCTACTTCTTAGGTTTTGATTTTGACTTAATATGAAGAAGAACTTGTGTTCTTTGTGTTGTGTTGTGTGGGCCTCTGTGTTTGTAGGTTTATGTCCTTGTGTTCTGTGAACAACTTTGTCTAATACATTCCAGACCATTATTGTTTGTACAGCTTATTAAAAACAATGGATGTTTCATTAATGTGGTAGGTCTTAGATAGAATTAATGTCATTTTACAGTACTGTACAAAGGTCTTGAGCCACCCTTTTTCTCTTGATGTTTTGAAAATTGGGAATAGGTGCAGTGACGTGCAAACAGACATGGAAATATAGTACACAACACAAAAAAAAGAGTCTGTGCAAATCTAACAAGCTCTAAAGTCAAAACTTGATATGGTCCTGGGCTTTGGTCCAGTTTTGAGGGGTTTTTGTTACTGAAGTCTTGTTATTTGATGTTCTGTTTGTTTGTTTGTTTGTTTTAGATTTTTAAACTCCTTTATATCGTGACTCCTCTTATTTAGTTCTTGCTTATTTACATTTGTATTCTGGTTGGTTTATTTTAGTGTAGTTATTTTTAGCTTTCTCTGTGGATAAGGTGCTTGACACAGTGTTGATTTTCTGAAGCCCCAACATTTAGAAACACTCCCCTGGAGTCTCCCCTGGCACTGCCACTAAACCCACAGCCCCAGCCTTCTCCTGCAGCTGAGCCACAGACCACACCACGTCACACACATTTAGTCTTTTTTATTTAAATTGGGGATATTGCTTTACATCAGTTCTAGTGAACTATGTAATGGGATCTCCTGAAGCAGTGCCCCTGCACTCCATTCCTGCAAAGAGTGTGGCGAAGGTGCTCTTTCATGTAATTACCCAAGTCGGCATCCCAAAAAAGATACTGTCTGACCAGGGCATTCATGTCTCCCACACTAAAAGAACTGTATGAATTACTGGGCATTAAAGATGTTTGCATCAGCATCTATCACCCTCAGATTGACAGGCTGGTCGAGCAGCTGAATAAGATTTCAAAGTCCATGATTCAGAAGTTCATTTACGAGGATGAGCAGAACTGGGATTGCTGGTTAGACCCTCGGTTGTTTGCATTTGGGTAGGTTCCCCCTTGATCTACTGTTTGGCAGGAAGACACAGGGTGTGTTGACCCTAATTATTAAAAGCTGGGAGGAAGGCCCAAGCCCAGCTAAGAGCAAAATTCAATAGGTCCTGGACGGGAGAGCAAAACTACACACATTGTTATCACAAGAGAATTTGCAACACATGGACAACAGAGGGTCTAGGATCAGGCAATACTGCTTCCTTCTTTGAGCTCAAAGGTACTTTCCAAGTGGCAAGGACCCTTCGTAGTGACACAATGAATGGGTGACACTGACTCTGAGATGGTAGATTAGATTAGATTAGATTAGATTAGATTAGATTAGATAGAACTTTATTAATCCCTCGGGTGGGTTCCTCTGGGAAATTCGATTTCCAAAAAAGCACAGCACCGACAGAAGTTACAGAGTTACAGAATATTATATATATATATACACACACACACATTTATATAAATACAGAGACAATATAAATAAAATATACGAAGGGGATAAATAGAATAAATAGGAATAAAAAATAAAAATACAAGTGAATTGCACATTTCAAGTATTGAGGTCTATTGCACTGTTGACTATTTACAAAAGTATTGCACAAAAGGTATTGCACAGTGAGGTGAAGAGGCACTACAGCTTAGTTGTTCCCCCCTCCTTTGTCCTCCTGTTTCCCCTCCCTCTCCCCTCCAGAGAGGAGTTAAACAGTCTGATGGCGTGTGGGACAAAGGAGTTTTTAAGTCTGTTAGTTCTTGTCTTGGGGAGAAGCAACCTGTCACTGAACAGACTCTTCTGGTTGTTAATGGCCGTGTGCAGAGGATGCCTGGCATTGTCCATAATGTCCATCAGTTTCTTTAGTGTCCTTTTCTCTGCCACTGTCACCAGAGTGTCCAGCTTCATGCCGACCACAGAGCTAGCCCTCGATCAGTTTCTCCAGCCTGGATGAGTCCTTCTTTGCTGTGCTGCTCCCCCAGCACACCACAGCATAGAAAAGTACTCCAGCAACCACCGACTGGTAAAACATCCTCAGGAGCTTCCTGCAGATGTTAAAAGACCTCAGCCTCCTGAGGAAGTACAGTCGGCTTTGGGCTTTTTTATACAGGTGCTCTGTGTTGCATGACCAGTCCAGTTTATTGTCCACCCACAGCCCGAGGTACTTGTACTTGTTGACCACCTCCACCTCCTCCCCCTCTATCTGAACCGGCAGTGGACCTCTCTAGACCTCCCGAAGTCCACAACCAGTTCCTTAGTCTTTGAGGTGTTGAGTTGCAGGTGGTTTGTGTGACTCCATGCGACAAAGTTCCTCACCAGACTTCTGTACTCCTCTTCCTGATCATCCCAGATACACCCCATGATGGCTGTGTCTCTGCAAACTTCTGAATGTGGCATAATTCAGAGTTGTAGCAGAAGTCAGAGGTGTACAGGGTGAAGAGAAGAGGGGACAGCACAGTTCCCTGTGGTGCTCCTGTGCTGCTGACCACAGTGTCAGACGTGATGTCCTTCAGCCTGACGTACTGTGGTCTGTCGGTGAGGTAGTCGGAGATCCAAGCCACCAGGCAGGGGTCCACCTCCATCCTGTTCAGTTTCTCCTGAAGCATACAGGGCCGGATGGTATTAAAGGCACTGGAAAAGTCAAGAAACAGGATCCTGACCGTGCCTTTTCCCCCATCCAGGTGTGAGTGGGCTCTGTGTAGGAGGTACAGGATGGCATCCTCCACTCCGAGTGTCGGACAGAGGAGGAGCCCCACAATGTTGTATGTTGCCCAGTCGTATGTCACTGAAAGAGCACCATTTTAACATGGGACCTGGCATGACGATGAGTTCACGGCCCTACAGGTTACCTGAGCATGAGACGAAAATAGTTCAGAAAGAAATAATAATAATGTATACTTTATTGATCCCTGTGGGGAAATTCCTTTCTGCATTTAACCCATTCACTCAGTGAAGCAGTGGGCAGCCACTGGGCGCCTGGGGAGCAGTGTGTAGGGACGGTACCTTGCTCAGGGGTACCTCAGGGTAGCCATTCAGTGGATTTGAACCCCTGACCTTACAATGGTGCCACCACTCTACCTACTGAGCTATCCCTGCCCCCAATGGCTGAAAGACTGAAAATGAGAAAAATAGAAGAGTCACAGAGAGTATGGTGTAGCCCCAAGATGGGTCTCTACGGTTCTGTGTTGACTACCATGAATAAAGTGTCTCAGTTATCCCACGCCCTGGGTCGATGAGCTCCTGGGCCAGTTGAGTACTGCTCATTTTTTCACGAAAAATTGCCTTCTTGGATGAATTTGATTGGCTAATCAGTCTTCAGAAGAGGCCAGGCTGTCTAGAGGCTAGACAGCTGCAAAAGCATCACTAACACTGCAACAATGTGTACTTGTGGGTCTTTGGTGTCACAAATGATAACAGTTTAAGTCAAAATTAGAAATTTTCATCACTCCATGAGAACTATTGCCACTGATTTTCAGTCCTGTTCTTGTTTAATTCAGCGTACCTCAGCCTTTTCCCCTTGTTTCCATTCCTAAACAATGGCTTCCTGACAGCTGCTAGGACCAGAGACCGGCAGCATATTTGTACTGGCACGCACTGGGGCTGCGGCGGCTGAAGCATTTGCAGGGCGCTGGTTGAGTGCCTGTGTGGGTATATGCTGAGCAGCCATCAGTGTGGGACCTGGGTGTTGTTGTTGGTGGTGGTTGTATAGATGGTGTTTAAGGCCTGAGGCCTGGGTGCTGACTGACGCATAGCATTCGGCATGTTCTGGAAGTGCTGAGGGCGCACTTCCAGAACTTCCAGCTGGTCCAGCTGTTTGGCAGAGAACACAGCACAGTTCTGAGCCTGTGGGATAGCTGCCATGAGGGTGGAACAGGCTGGTATGGGTGAAGGACAGGATTGGGCACAGCTCGGACAGTGGCCATCTTTTGCATGTACTAGTTGGTTAGATGAGCCTGATGCTCCTCTTTCCGCTGAGCAAGGGCCACATACAGTGGCTTTGTAGCCATAATACGTCCATTCATCTCTGTTACAGCTTTAGTGTCCTCATCTGAAGAAGAGAAGCACACAAAGCCAAAGCCTTTGCTGCGGTCACCCTCCATCATCACCTTAGCACTCATCATGGTTCAAAATGAGGAGAATTATAATCAATATGTAGCTTGCCATCACCAGTGTGTGAATGTGTGTGTGGATGGGTGGATGACTGGATGTGTAAAGCGCTTTGGGGTCCTTAGGGGACTAGTGAAGCACTATACAAATACAGGCCATTTTACCATTTACCAATATATGTATAAATATAAATATATATATAAATATCTTTTTTTTTTTCTTTTTTACTAAGTGTTCTGTTGTTAGTAGACTCAATGGTAGCTCATCCCTTGACTTAGGTACTTTTTTATTGCTTCACTGGTCAGTGTTTAGTAGCTGTGTTGGAAAGCACCCGAGCACACAGTGTTACAGACAGGTGAATTCCTTTATTTATAACTATTTAAATGTTTGTGCAGCTTTCCAGCCACCTTGTTAATGCAACACACTCCCCTGTCAGGTCCTGGCATCCTACTGAAATAGGGAAGCATGACCATGTGATGGACAGCAGCTGTGTGGGCCAGCCTCCCCTGACACCACACCCCAAACCCACTGGTCCATCCCTCCCCTGCAACTGAGCCACAAATCACACCCCACCACGGCAGCTTAACAAATAAAAGTGGCTAATGTCCAAAGAAAAACTTTGAAGAGCTTCAGAAAGACTGGAGAACTGAAGATAATTGTTAGTTGTTGTTTTTTAAAGAATGAACGTCTGGATTCTTAGATGCAAAGTATGAAAAATGAGGTGGCTAAAAACTTTTGCACAGTACTGCACATAAAAAGAGAGTAGGCCTAATGCTGAATGACTGAATTCCCTTCAGCAGCCAATATGTATCATCCTGGTGGTACGATCTCCATTACTTTGATTGCAGCCAACTTCTGCTCTGGCTTGGCAACAAAAGCATGTTTAAATGCATACATCCTGCGCTCCAGGTCATAGGGTGCTGGAGCCCATCCTAGCTGCCATTGGGTGAGAGGCAGGCTATACACTGGAGAGGTGGCCATTCTGTCATAGGGCTAACATACAGAGATGGTCAACCATTTACACTCCCATTCACACCTATGGCCAATTTAGTTAATTTAACCTTACTAACTGCATATCACTGGGAGAAAGCCAGAGTACCTGAAGAGAACCCACAGTCAATTGGTGGGAAAGAGACAGACTGAAGTCCCCCCGGCTTACCTCCCATCACCTGAGAGAGGGTAAACACCCAGCCTTTAATGATTAAAATGATGTAGCGTGCCATAATATGTGCTTCTGCTAATAGTAAATCATCTTTATTCTTAATGAAAGATAAAGAATATAATTAT